GCTGAGAATGCGTATCCATTTCGGCACTGGCCATGAGTCCTGCTGACCCCCTAGCCCCTTCATCATTCCACTACCTTCTTACCAATGCCGAAGCGCTTCTCTCTCGATACCAAAGCTCCTATCGCCAACTCTCAACCGCCCTCGTAGATGCTCGCTCTGAGCTGAGCGCGCAAGAAGACGAGCTGGACGAGTCAGAAACAAGGGTGCGCCATCTGAAGATGCAGCTCGAGACGATGGCAGAGCGTGCTAGCGAGCAAGACGAGCAAATGCAAACACTCATGGCCGACCTTGAATTCGAGCGACGCGCAAGGCAAGAAGAGGAGGCTGCAAGGAAGCGCAGTCTTGCTCTCATTCGTGGTCCAGCGTCATGCGAGCATACCAAATGCCAAGACTCTCCTCGACGACACAACCGCATCTCCGGTTCTGAGATCAGCGTAGACTCTGGATTCGAGTCGGAAACTGAAACCGATGCTGCCAGCGTCTTCTCAAGAAATTGCCTGAGCCCCACCGGTACCGAACGATCGTCGATCCACGAAGCTGATTCACGCGATACCACTCCCAAGGGCAAAAAGGTTCCCACTCGGCAACGGGGCAGCACAAACGACAAGGTCCCCGCACCGGTCAATTTGCAGCAAGGAGGATGGGGTTGTGCGAATTGCGAGGGCGGCGCACAGTCTGCCGTTTGGGGACGGCTTGCCAAGGAGCGAGAAGAGAACCGAACGCTAAAACTGCGTGTAGAGAGTTTGGAAGAGGCGGTTGAGAGCGCGTTGAACGTTGTCGATGGGCCTTGGGGGATGTAAATACTTTTTCTCTTTGCTTTGCTTTACTTCACTTCACTTCACCACTACATATCCAGGGTCACTTTTCATCTTACCGTACGTACCTTGTTTGGGAATAGGGGGCTTTATCAGCACGGACTGGCGTAAAGGTTGTTCAATTCCAGCATTAGCGGTGCACTGCATACCGCGGATAAAATTATACCAACATATATCTTAAAATTGTGCATGTCAACATGAAGACACATCTTGTCACAACTTACATGTATGTACATTTATATATCTTTCATTACACTTGAAATTTCATAACCGCTAGCCGATTTCAATCATGCACTTCGGGACCATCCAACTACAACTTCTCGCCCGAACAGCAGTCCTTGTCCACCAACACACTCGCTTCATTCTTGGTGCTCGGCACATCAATCGCCGGATTCCTCTCGAAGAAATCGCTGGGCTTGAAATGGATCTGGTAAATCTCCACCGGCATAACCGGCCAATCCTCGACACTGTGGCAAGCAAAGTCAGCAAACGTGTTTTGTGTCATCCAAGACTGGAAAGGAGCGGGAGAGGAGAAGAAGAAGGAGAAGGAGATGGAAACGTACCGTGGGTTATGCGTGAGACCAAAGGTATTCCAAATAACCAGGTCTTCATTCGCAACATCGTCTTTTCGCGCAGCCATGTCGTGCACGCCTCCTTGCTCCAGCTGGCTCTGCAGTGTAAACCGGCCGGCGGCGTATAATTCATTATCCTTGTACTTTGTAACCCAGACATGGTGGTTTGTAAACAGGGCACGCTGGGCCTGAATGCTGCCCTGGCTAGCCAAAATCTTCTGCGTCGGCAGCGGCTCAAACTTGTAGCCGACGGGGTTGCCAGACGTGGGGTTTTTGACGGCCGGGTTGATGATCTTGAAGACGCGGTGGTCAAAGGGGTTTGCGTCTACGCCTGTGGATTTGTCGAGGATGGTCTTGTGGATGGTGTAGAGGTTGCCGTTGGGGTTGGTCTCCTTGTTCCAGGGCGCGGTGTGGGATTCTTCGTAGAGGAGGGTGTTTTTGTGGCCGTCGATGGCAGGGTCAATGCGTGCGGCGAAGATGTGCTGGTGGTTTTGCGCAAGCACGCCTGGAGACATGATGTTCCCGTACTCGGACGTCTTGCCGGGGTCGATGTTGACCACAGAGACGATGCCTGTGGCACGGACTTCGAGCGTGATGCCACCGGCAGTGTCAAGCTTGTACGCAAACACGTACTCGTAGTTGGCAAGGGTGATGATGAATTGGACGACGAGTTCTCGCATGCGCGTCACGACTGCGCGGCCAGTCCGCCAGTTGGTGTGCTTCCAGCCGATTCCGTTGTCCTGCTCGTGCAGACAGATGACATTGGGATGGACTCTTGGCTCACCATCGGAGCTGACGACGACGGCGTCGAAGTATTTGATTACACCAAGGCAGTCACAGCCGAGAGACAGGTTGTTGGCCGAGTTTCCTGCCCCACCGTCCCCGAAATCAAAGGCTTGCTTGCGGTGGAATGGCGGGCGGGGATCACCATAAGGCACAGTCATTTCGCTGATACTCATGCGGTATAGAATGCTTCTGCCATCGTAGTGCACATCATGAAGGACGGCTCCTTCACGGGGATTGAAGGACACACGGAAGCGCCACTTCTGCCACTCGACCAGCGATTCGTCTCTGACAGTAAAGGACGGGCCTTCGGGCTGTGTGATGTTGATGGGCTTGACATCTTTGCGAGTTCCGCCCTCGAGAAGTTCAGGAATATATTCCGAGCCCCTGATGTGGTCGAGAATGCGCTCGTTGTGGGTTTGGCCGGCAAGAGGGTCGCCCTTGCCACCGGTGGCTAGACGATCGATGCGAACAATCTCTTTTGTTTTTGCGTCCATGACGGGGATGAGAGGCAACGGGTAGGCATAGAAATTGGAATCTGGGTTTCCGTTCCGCATATCCTGGGCAAAACACAAGCCTTGGAAATACCGCCTGTTCTCAGAACCAAAGTCAAGCCCTCCATATGGCCTACCCACTGGTCAGTATTTGCTCGAGTGATTCTCTCTCAGACCTACCATGGCTCAACTACCAATTCGAAGCCCTCGGGGAGTTTGAATTCGGCAATAGCCTTCTGAAACATGTCGCTCCTTTTGCATGCCTCGACAACGGCTGCAAATTCCCAGAGTGTCAAACTGGCATGCATCTCCTTGCCCACAACCTCGTGGCCAACTCTTTGCTTCGTCTCGATATTGATGACAGATTCATGATACTCTGGAATCTTATCTGAGCCAATCACGTCGTACTGGACCTTGGCCAGACGAGGCGGCCTTACTGATGTCGGTGATTGGCCGGGTCGTGCTGCGTGTTCGAGGTCAAGATATTGCTTCATCACCTCTTTCTCAGGCTCTTGGAGGTAGATCTCTCTAAAGTCCACGAGTTTTCCATCGTGGAGGGAGAGGACAGTATCACGGGCAATCCGTGTCTCCTCCACATTAAGGGTCTTGAAGGGGTGAGGTGCCATAATGGTGGACAGGGGTGCTCGATCCCCCAACCTTCAAATCAAGGGCGTTGGTCTGATTTGATTAGATGATTCGTACTTTTCCAGTGGCCTGTGGGGAAAAGTATACAAGGGAAGTTGGCAATGAAGAGAAGGATGGATAAGAAGAAAGGGAGGGGTGATATCTAGCAGCTTTGTATCTCCGTGGACACGGGCACGCACAATTGACACCCGAGGTCTACTTCTGACTTCGCCTCTGCTACTTGTCTGATCGGGTGGGGTTTGACGAACGATATGCTGGCTATCCTTGACCAAGCTTCTAAGAGATACTCGTCGCAGAACTGCTCATCAACACAGGATAGACCGTGTATCTAGACAAAGATCGGCTGGACCTTCCGAATGGCGTTAGCTTCTCAAACGGACAGACGGGCCTGGGGATAACCGTCATCACCGAGGCTTGATGGCAACGCTATAAACGTCGATATCGTATGTGAGAAAGATTGTCACTCTGCATTTTGCCTCCATGTGGCAACTGCATTCAACGCAGTGCATCTGCTTGGATTCAGCCTACTGGTGCCCGCACAAATCTTCAAACGTTGGAGGTTAGGCGTTCCACAAAGTTGGCGCCACAGTAGAGCACTTGCGCTACCGGTAAAGCAACCTTAGGATTACTGGATTTGGTCACTAAACTGAGAAACCTCAGCTTTCTGGCCATACTGGGCAGAAGCAGGTTGCCACATTCGCTTTTGACCTTGTCTTCTGCATAGCATACCTCTCGGTCACTGTAACTATAGTATTATTTGCAAGTTCGCAACTGAAGAGACATTGTGATGACACCGTCATATAGATATGACATCAGCTTCATGAATCTCCTCGCTTGCTTCCATGCATCATCATCACCATAAAGGAATTCATCAATGACTTTAGAAGCTTACAATAATACCTAGCCACATGAGGCAATCTTGAAGCCGAAATTGGCTCTTGTATCATTGCTGATTGTATCTCTTTTCATTTAGAGGATCTTGACCGTTAGCCAGTAGAATTGCATTTCATCATGTAGGATCCATTCTACTCGTAGTATCACTTTGCATCTGTGCTCCCGCTGAACCTTACCATTTACCCTATTAGTGTCTAAACAATCGTAGTTCCAGTAATCTTCATAGTATCTTTTATCCCATCAGTACTGGTCGCATTCTGAAAAAGAGTTTCTTTATACCTATGATGGAGTTGTAAGTGAACTATTTTATTCCGTAGGACACTTCGTTCGTTGAAATCCAACGGACTTATCCTTCATACTTGTTGTAATCGCCTTAAAAGGAATGTAGAAGCTGGCGTTGCGAGACTGCATTACTTTCTTGTCAACCACTGTCTTGGATCTCGTGAACCAGGCGAGAATGACAGCTGTTGTGGTACATACGACTGCGAAACGTCGATATAAGCTGACAATGCTCACCAACATATTATGATTGTTTTGTTGCAGTAAAATAAGTTACTATAAAGTAATGAGTTCAAGAAAGACATGACAAATTAATTTTAGACGACGTCAGAAAAGAAAGGCAACCCATTAATGACGAGAAACATGCCCACTCTCCAGGGCAGGAGATCGCTTGAAGGAACCGCCGGAAACTCCACTCATCACCTTCTCCACAGTTTTTCCTGATGCAACGCTATCTTGACCCTCAGATTTCACTGTTGTGCGATCAAACTTGTCGCCAAGAGCTTGCTTCGGGTCGGCCACCATGTTCACAGTCTCGTACTCGAGCGCCTTGATGAACATATAAAAAACACTTGCTAGGAGTGCACCGAGAATAGGTCCGACCCAGTAGATCCAATGGTATGAGGAGAAAGTACGAGTGACGACGGCAGGACCAAAGGAGCGAGCGGGGTTGACGCTGCCACCCGTGTAGAACACTCCCATGAGCTCTGCTACAAAAAGCGATAGACCGATTCCAACTGGTGCGATGAACGTGCCCTCATGCTTCTCCGTGGCCAACATGAAGATCGTGAAGACGAGTTGTGCTGTCAAGAACATCTGATGAGGTATAAGCGCATGCTGGAAGCAACGTCGACTGAAGGCATATTGCTTACCTCAATGAACAATCCTTGCACGACAGTGGTCCCGCCTCCAAGTTCAGTCCTGACAGCCAGTACGTTAGGCATCATAGCGGACACAACGCCAGAAGCCGCAATTCCACCAATAATCTGAGCCAGAATGATGAGAAAACCACGTCTGTATCCCGTAGCGCCCACGACCATCATGCCGAGAGTGACTGCAGGATTGAAGAGGCCACCACTAATGCGGAAGTAAACCCAGGCGTTCACTGTCAACGAAAAACCGAACACCAATGCAATATACATGATCTTGCTTGGATTCGCACTCAAGTCCACGGCGTTTGCGCCCTCAGGAGGCGCTGTGTTGACCACATTCGTGCCGCCCAGTGCGAACAACAAAAACATGAATGTGCCAACGAGTTCGCCAACGCATGCCACGATGTGGCCTTTTATCTCCTTTGGCAGGACGTCGAGAAACTTGAGGCGACGAGCTACATGGTGTTCTTTGTGATGCGGCAATTGCGCATGGCGGTTCTTCCATGGAATACGGAGACCTCCTGTTGGGCGATCGACGTTCATGTTGGTAAAGGTGGCCGTTTGTAGTATGCGGTGGATGCAGGTGGAGATGCAATAAAGGGGTTTTTAAAGGGGAGATTGTACAAAGAGGGTAATCCTCGATGTAGTAAAGGCACAAGGTCAGGATATGAAAGTACCGGCGTTGGTCTGAATAACACAACCTGGTTTTTATGATCCGATCAAGGATTGCTTTGGACAGATGATGAGAGCCATTTATGCATTTCCTGTGTCAACTTTCCCATGTTAGGCTTCTCTGCACACTACACGTGGTGACGTGCTCAGAGAACTCCTAACAAGCCACACATCGTCGAGATCATACGCAAACATCTAGGTTAACACATACCATTACCCGTCAATGACGCAGCAAATAGGTCTTTGAGATGTGGGAAGTGTCTCCTAGTGTAAGTTCGCAGCTTAACAATGAAAGGACGCAGCTAGGTAGCTGTCATGGCATTTCAGATCTCCAAAACGCCCGTGATAGGGCAGAAAGTTTATACAATTATCCGCATTGGGCTTAAGACACCCTTGGGTATGAGCAGGGGATCTCATTACTCCACGTTGAATCGAGAAACACGGGACGTTCTTCAGAAGATCTTGATGCTAAGATGAAGCGAGTTCGGGAGCAGATGACGGCAAGCGTAGCGCCACCTTCCCGGTGCAGATCAGGGTCCAGCCATCCTACGCCATCGATTTCATGAGGCTATTGTTGATGGTTAACGTTTGACGTATATGGGAAACCTGGATGGCAAACCTTCAAACTCGAGCTTCCCATCTCAGTCTGCGCATGGACGGCCCCGCAGTCCTCTTCCCCACAGGGCCTCACGATGTGCTGGCTGAACATCTACCAATGTAAGGTGAAGCCCTACTCACATTTTGGAGTGATATATCCTCAACAATGCCAGATAACAACGTAATTACATAATGCCGTAGTGGGTTGAAAGGAGGCACATGGAAGCCCTGTCAGTTTCCGCAAATAGCTGTGCACGTCATCGAGCGGGAGTTATTGAGATATTCTGATCTCCCACGTCGTCATGACCTTCCTTAGGAGATAATCAATAGCCGCTGGATCAGGGACGTGGATGAGGAGGCATCTTGTCTAAATCTTGAGGCGTACCGCGTGGAAGACCTGGCTTAGCTGAGATCTATTGCACGCAACCGGCTACGGAGAGCTGTAACTAGTAAGCATTTTCGCAGCTGCGTCTTTTTGGTTCCCAATTTTTACGTACCGGCAAACCTTGATCAATCTTAGACTCTTGTTGGTGATCCAAATTCTTCGACAAGAAGGCGTACTTGCTTCAATCATCCAGCACCTACTGATCGCCAATATGGACCATGGATTTCAAAAGCAGGTCCACATATTCTTACAGAGAAAAATCGAATCGTTGATTTGCTGAAACCATATCATACTAAATTTGTAGGATCAGAGCGTTGGGACACCAACTGACCACCGGACTCTCGATCTGTCCACTGTATCTAGAAGAGTGTGAGCGAGGCGATGGCGGAAGAGGGTAAAATGATCGCGTATATGCGAGAGATCTACTCTGCAACTTGTCTCGACGAATACTTGTCGTTCGTGCTTGGTCTGCTTTCAAGACACTCCCCACTCCCCCACTGTTTGATCAGATGTCGATGGTGCTGTATGTAGGTAGTAGCCTTCTTAACGTCCTCATTTGGCGCAGAAGTAAAAGGCATCATGAGAGAGAGGTCTACGTATCCACCGGCGAGCTCTGAGTATGCGTGGTCAAATCCAACGTGGCGTGTTCTCTCTTAACCTTCTGGGAGGTTGTTGTACACTTTGCTCCAACTGACTCACATGAAACCACATCGTTGCGCCACGTGCACTGCCACAAACCTGCCACGCGACCTCGAGTCCCGCCATCTTTTTTTGGCATTACGCGCCCACTGTGACGCGACCACACCTTGGCCAACATGGATTCCCAAGACGCTGAACTCTTCACACCTTGTCTGTCAGGCTGTTGCAATTCACAGCGAAGGCGATTGCGCTATGCACTCCTTGAGGCGGTGAAGCACAAGTGGCAACGGGCCTCGACTACTTGATTAGGCTTCTTCTTCTCTGCTGCAGCTACGGTTGTTAAGAATACTTTTCGTGGCCCGGAGTCAGGCTCAAATTATAATCGAAATGTCGTTTTCAGGCACGACACCAGAGTCATTACTTCCACGCTCGGATTCCCGGAATCCGGCCACGACTTGCAAGGGCATTACCAAAGCTGGTCGACCGTGTAGACGGCCAATAGATGCCAAGCCATCCGAGGATGACGGGGTGATTGCTGTAGTCTCTGTCATTGGCGATGGTGATGATGAAGAGGTTGGTGCTGCTGCATACTTTTGCTGGCAGCACAAGGATCAGGCGGAGCGGTTGGCTGCGCAGACTTCCAATGGACCGCCAACGCATCTCTATCCGCTGAAGGAGAGGAACAGTATTGATACATTGGTCGAGCGTCTTGGGGTACTTGAAGTGGATGATGCCGAAGAACCTAGTCAACGCAAGAGACGGAGTAGCAGACAGGAGCAGGGAACATCTGGGATGCGGCCACCAAAGAAAATCAACAGGCCAGCCACCTGGGATAAGGTTGAAGGACCTTTGATGTCTGTACCGAGCGATGTGATGGCAGCAAACAAACCGCATACTTATCCAGCCAAGCCGTCTTCACCGAGAACCAAGCCCAGCTTTTGGTCATCACTCTGCTGTGGCTCTGCAGATGTCGATGATATCGAAGAACCTCAACACAAGCAGAAGACGAGCCAGGCTCCCGTAGCTACAGCTACCCAGGAGAAACCACAGGTCCCTGTTCAACAACCTTCAGCACGCCCTGCAAGAGTACCACAAGACCATGGTCGACGACCCAGCAGATCCACATCACGACCTCGCACCTCACGACGCTCAAGTAACCCAGCCGTCCGCACGCCCCTAGGCGAAAAACCCGCACGGCCAATCAACAAGATGAATCGGGAGGAATCAGAGACAGCCGCCTTGCTACGCTACATTCCCAAGAACCTATCCCCACAACTAACCTCGACCCTCCTCGCCGAACTCAGCAAACCAATCTCCCCCCACGACGACGAAGGCTACATCTACATATTTTGGCTGACGCCCGACTCCGCCGGCCCCGCTCCCAAATCCGCAGCCTCATCGCTCCTCGTCCCGCCCTCATCCCGGCCGGACCAAAACCGCCGCACCGCAGACGTGCTCCGCCAATTCTCCGTCAAGAAGCCACAACAAGGCTCGCGATCGGGCACAGCCAGACGGTCGCCCAGCACCACCGACACGGCCAACAAAGACCGCATTCTCCTCAAAATCGGCAGGGCCAACAATGTCCACCGTCGCATGCACGAGTGGACGCGGCAATGCGGGTACAGTCTCTCCCTTGTGCGATACTATCCCCACGTGCCCTCTACACCATCACCTGCGCCTGCTCCACACGCGACGCCTGCGCAGTCCCGACGCCGGTCTTCGGCAGGGCCAGGAGGGGTGAGGAAGGTCCCGCATGCCATGCGTGTGGAGCGGCTGATTCACTTGGAGCTGGGCGAGCAGCGGGTTGTGAAGAAGTGCGAGGCGTGTGGGAAGGAGCATAGGGAGTGGTTTGAAGTGGAGGCGTCGAGGGAAGGGGTGAAGAAGGTGGATGAGGTGGTGAAGCGGTGGGTGGACTGGGCGGAACGGACAAATGGTAGGCTGGGCGGTACGGACGAACGAGTGATGATGTTGTTGGAGAATTGAAGCTTCTTCAAGTGGCGGTATTTGTCATCTTTCTCGGCGCTCTGGGCATATGGTGTTGCATTCTAGTTTTGCATGTTCTCGACATTTATACTTCTGCACGAGCGCTTCGTATCATATCAAAGACTATTCGTCTTCCTATCAAAGAGTCTCTGGGACATGTCCATGTTTACTTGGTCACAAGATGCAGTGCTTCAGTCTCGGTCTATGTTTTTTGAAATTATGATTTGTTTTGGGGAATTGGGGTATCTTGTGTAGCTTGGAAGCAATCCATCAATCAAAAGCGTCGGATAGCGATAATAGCCACTGTCATCTCGTCTCTTGTGTACTCATAATGGCGGTAATGGCGGTAATGGCGGCGTTCAGGGTTGATTTTGCCCGACATAGCGGACACTGTACATGGGGGGAAGGGTGATAAGGTGGGAAATAGGAGAGATTTGTGCGCCCGCTTTTTGCCTTGATAACCTTGTAGTAGAAACGCAGGACTTTTCCCTCTCTTTTTGCGCACATGGAGTCGTCATTATTGATAGGTGGTGTTGAATGGTCCTCTGTCTCATGACATCATCGGCGACGGTATATACAATGTTGAGGGTAGTCCATCCTCTAGAAGAGCCCTATGCGAGGCCGCCAGTCGTTCTCGGTGGCCGCTTTGGGGTTGACGATGATCTGGTAAGGGAAGGGGTTGGCGTCGGTGGTGGTGATGGGTGGAATGTGGTCTTTGTCGCGGTTGACGATGGAGATGATCTTGTAGGCGGCCTTTTCCACGGACTTGCTCATAGCGCGACGGACCTTGAGAACATCTGTGCACTCTGTCAGCGAGCTACTTGGAGACTTGGAGCGAGGAGAGGCGCGTACCTGTCTCCGTCCTGGGCTGTGCGAGCGTCACGTCCAGCGTCCACTGCTCCCAACAAACATCCTCGTCTGCCTTGCCGAAGAAGTACGTCTTTCTCCTCTTCTTCTCGAAGAACTGTATCGCAATCTGGCCCCGTCCTCTGGGCTGGTGGGTGCTGTCTATGGCGCGACGGAGAGCATGCGTCTTCTGCTCGATGAGCGTCTCGAGGTCCACATCGTCGATGGCGGGGAGAGTGAGGTCGAGCAGATCGCGTGTGAGGGGAGAAATCGAGGTGAAGTATCGGTGAAAGAAGATGGTGTGGAGTATGGCTATGGCACGGTCAGGGCTTGTGGTCGACAGATATCGGTGTTGGGCGACTGTGTAGTGGGGCGAAGGAGGGTGAGGGGCCCGACGGGGGGAGAGCAAGGAGTACGTCAGACAGCATGTGGTGAATGCTTTTCACTCAAGCCTAGGTACTTGTCGGGGGGTAGCTAAAGCTCTATATATATAAGTCTAATTATAGTAGATATAATCTAATAATCTATCCCCTAGATTATTCCTAACCTTAGTAATCTGGATTTCCACACTAAATCTTTTCTATACTTATCTAAGTTTTATTTAAATTAGAGCCTTACCTAGGGGTTATATACTTCTTTCATTGCGGGCATGGTAGGGGGGGGGGGCCGCCGAGAGTTGGGCAGGGATGAGAAAATGTGGCACAACTGCCACCTTTGGGCCGTGAAGCAGGGTGAAGCAGGGTGAAGCAGCAGCAACAGCAGGTAGGCAGAAATCTACAACTCACCTTTGACGACTTCTTCTACGCGCGCCGCATCCGCGAAGATTTCGAGATGGTACTCTGGGCGCCTTCTGGGTTCCATGCTGGCACGTGCTGGGTTGCGCTGGCCTGGAATCGGGAGAACGGTGTCCAGAGAACCCCGCGGTGCGCCGCGCGGCGACTTTGGAGGGCGAGCTTTATCGCGACAGCCTGGCTGCGACTGGAAGGCGGAGGGAGTCGACTGTTACCGGTGCAGTGTTGTTTCCATGCGTGGGAAGGGAGTGCGGGTGGGGTGCGTGATGGTGTTGTGTGTTGTGCGGAGGGTTTTTTCTTTCTTTTCTGTGGTGAATGGCGATCGAAGAATGCAGAAGCCGAAAGATGGGCAGCAAAGTTAACGATCCAGCTTTGGGCTGCGGGGCTCTCCTGCTTTTGCGGACGGACGACGACAAACGCTTGGAAAAGGGCCCGCCATTCATCATCCCGTCCATTGCAGCAAAAGAAGGGCCTGACACGCACAAAGAAGCCACATCCCTGGCCTGGCCCTGCGAACACGACGACACGACGACACGACGACACGACGAGCATGACGAACCCTATACTTCTTACTCTACTACTCTACTGCCCTCCCTCTCTTCTCCGCCTATCACGCCGCACCCGATTCTCACCCAAGCCAGCCCTACCATCATCCCTCCCACTCTTTCCACCCTTTCCACCCTTCCAACACACCCTAACAAAACTCTGTTAAACTCTAACCCGCGGCGTGACATGAACGTCCTCTGAGACACGCCTTCACCTGACACTACTCCGACTTTCTCCTGGGAAGTCATGCCAACTCATCACGGGGTGCTTCGATCAAGATGCGGTCAACTGTTTGTCAGCAGAGCACACACACACACACACACACACACACACATGTTGCCTCTGCCCTGCCGCCTGCGTAATCCCACTGCGCAGGCGTTGTGGAGGTGATGTGGTGTGTACAGTAAGTATTGTGAATAAGCCCAAAGCTCCGCTTAGAGGCGGGCCGTGAACTGCCATGTCATGCCATGCCCATGCCATGCCATGCCATGCCCAGGCCATTATGGTGATGATGCTGCTGCTGCCAGCTGCCAGCTGGAACGGGAGCAAGCAGCTAGCGACTAGAGTAGCGTTGGCCTGTCTTCGGTTCTTCGACAGACACTTGAAAGTTCGGTCTGGCATCTGTCCACCCAGTCTGGGCTCGGGAGTCTGGACACGAAGCCATTGGATGTCTTGCATCCAGCCTGGACCACCTGTTTGCCCGGCTGCCTAGGTATCCAAGTAGGTACGCCACACACACATCCAAGGCATTGTGAGACCGAGTCTGCCGAGTCAGCAGTCTGGCCATTGGCTCCATGAACCCTGCCTGCTTCCTTTCGCATGCATAGCCAGCTCGAAGTGGAATGAGATGTAAGGCAAAACATGAGAAAGCTGACCATGGCAAGCCAAGAATGACGAAGATGGGATCAGCTCTTATCTGCTGTCTCATGGTTCTTCCATTTTCATGCCATTCGTATTTATCTGGCTGGCAGTGGAAGCTAAGCCAAGTTCAATAGTTACCAGGTTTGGGGTCAACAGTCAACTGTAGGCTGGCTGCTTTGGCATACTACTTCGCAAAAGGGGCTACTATGCCAGCCGTCAATCACCCTTTCAGCTTAACGGTTTGACTTGAAATGCACGTCTTTTGAATATTTTAGAATAAGTCTTCTTTAAAAATGGCCCAGTGGTAACAGACGCCAAATGTAAAATCGGGCATGAGCTTTTGAGGCTCGACCGCCGCGCTAACCATGGACAGGCGCGTCAAGTCGCGTCGCCCCAACTTCCGTCCATTCTCGCTCGACACAACCCCTTGACAATGGCCGGCACAAAGCGCACACGCGATGACGATGATACAGACGACGGTACGCCGCGAAAACTTCGCGCTCGCATCGCAGATGGCCCACCCGAAGAGCAGGCCTGGTCGGAAGTTCAGACGCCATCAAGAAGAAACAAAACACTCCTTCTAGCAGAGAATGGCACACCGAGATCCATTCTCAAAAAGAGTGGTTTAGCAAATGGCATCACTGTTACGCCCAAGTCCTCGAGAAAGCTTCTATTCGATACACCTACCAAGCCCGCTACAAGCGACTCCCCAAATGGCACGCCAACCCTTGTACGCAATGCAGATCGCAGCGCCCGAAGGAAGAGCAACAGACGGATCCTTGAACGCACAATCCATGGCGAGGATAGTGATGAAGACGTCTTGGACGAGGAGGATATCCTGGCGGAGCAAATCTTGGGCGACGATGGAGGCGAGGTTGAGACAGGTGCTGAAGAGACCGTGGAAGAGGAGATGGCAGTACCCGAGACACCCTCAAAGCGTGGAAGAGGCCGACCAAAAGGCTCAGGCAAAGTGGGAAGGCCAAGAAAACAACGATCACCTACACCTCCGACAGAGCTGCCTTCGCATGAACAATACTTTTGGCAAAACCGCCCTGGGGCTACCAAGACCTCGAACAACACGCTGGCTGCACAAAGCCTGCTCAATCATGACGAGTATTACCAAGCGATACAATCTTACCAAGACCGCCATCAACCTGAAATGGACTTTTTAATGGAGTTACACGGCCGTGCATACGACCAATGGATTTTTGAGCTCGAAGAAGGCTTTAATATCTGCCTATACGGCTACGGCTCGAAGCGCATCATCACCGAACGATTCACTGGATGTCTATACCAACATCTTTTGAACCAAGATCCCTACAAAGGGACCAAGAAAACGCCAAAAATCGTCGTGATCAACGGCTACGCGGCCGGCACGACAATGAAGGAAGTGCTTAGTACTGTTGCGGCTACCTCACTCGCACCAAACATCAAATTGCCCAATCAGCCTACCGCCTTGCTCGAATTGATACTGGACACTCTCTCGAACAATGCACCTTCGCACCCAGTGCCAATCATACTCAATTCAATTGATTCGCCTCATCTCCGCAAGTCCCCAGCACCGTCGATGCTGGCTAGATTAGCAGCGCATCCTCAGATAAGCCTTGTCTGCACCGCCGACACACCCAACTTTCCCCTACTATGGGATGTAGGCTTGAAAACACAGTACAAATTCCTCTTCCACGATGCCACCACATTTGCCCCATACAGTGCTGAAATCGACACCGTCGAGACCGTCAACGAATTGCTGGGTCGCAGCGGCCGCCGCGTCGGCGGCAGAGACGGTGTCGGCTTCGTCTTGCGCTCGCTCCCCGAGAAAGCACGGGAGCTCTTCCAGGTGCTCGTCATGGAGCAACTCGCACTCTCCACCACGGACGGCGGCGAAATCGAAGATGAAGACGAGGAAGACCATATCCCCAGATCCAGGAAATTCGGACAGACTAGCAAATCGGGTTCTGCGCATGCGGCGCAAGGTGTCGAATACAGAGTCCTGTACCAAAAGGCCGTCAATCTCTTCGTCTGCTCCAGCGAAGTCGGCTTTCGCTCTTTACTCAAGGAATTCCATGACCATCAGATGATTGAGAGTCGCAAGGATGCAATGGGAACCGAAACCCTGTTTGTACCGTTTAGACGCGAGGAGCTCGAGGGGTTGGCAGAGGATTTGGCAGTCGAGGTGTTTTGATATACAGGTACATGTACATGTACTTTAAAAATGCAAAACTTGGTATCCCCAGACACTTTTACTTTGTAAACTATCTTCTATGACTAGATACATGGTGTCCGCCTGGCTGGCTAACCTCTGGAGCTATTTGCCGGGCTCGTCGTCGTAGGTACGCTCTCGGAATAGGGCCCTTTCGGGAACCAAAGCGGCATCCAACCGCGAAAATTTTTCCCCTCGCGCTTTCCATCTCAACATACTGTAGATTCAGCCCCTGGCAGAATTGTCTCCTACCACATACTAGTGTCAGTGTTCCCATGCATAAACAGTATTTCGGTAGGTGTATAATACCACATGTTCACCAATTTGTCATCATCGAACAGACCGGTCGCTTAGCTCAGTTGGTTAGAGCGTGGTGCTAATACGAGGCTTGAACCCGCAAGCCCGTGACGCCAAGGTCGCGAGTTCGACCCTCGTAGTGACCAATTTCTTGCTTTTTTTGCGAGTGCATGTTTCCTATTTTTGAATTCGCTTGTTGTGGATGCATTTCTTTGGCGCCTTGGAATGGGCGTGGTGACGTTAGGGTTGGGGCGAGATGAATGTGCGAGTTGCGGTTGGGCTAGAGACAGGAGCTAACTAGGCTGGATCTAGCGGGTACCGTATGATGCCACCTACTAGATCTAATCTAGTTACTCACTCACGTTCAGCTCAACCGCAGCTCGCAAGTTGCCATATGTGGTTGCAACTACGTGTACAGCAGTGTCTTTGGCGCTTTAAGGGAATAAGCTACATGTGTACAGCATGTGAAGCTCTCTGCTATGAATATGTAGATAATAATTAGCCTGCACATTGGTACGTACTCGCTGCGAGGTGGACTAAGGCGTCTTGTTTTAATTTGCGGCTGAATTAGAGCCGCCTACGGTTATTGTATACTGTGTGGACAATAATGTATAGCGATAATGATTCTTCGGAGTCTACAGATGTGTGTGTTTGAGTTCATGACGCTGTCCCTTCTCCTATAAAGATGTAATAGACGTTCCTTAAGTCGAGACAACCAATGCTGGTGGTCAGCCACCCTTATTTCAGAGCAGGTGATTAGAACGTAACAAATAGAATACCGCTATTTAAATTCTTTCGGCCACTGGATTCACTAATCCAAACAATCTCAATGCAACCATACACGGCTGTTGTCCACTTACTTTCGTGGACTTGTAGACTTGGCGCTAATGCAAATTGAATCTAGCGCCCTTTGAAAATACACCCCACCCGTGACTCGCGGTCCACATTTCGAGCCTCAACTTCTCGATACGGCATCTGCGAAAACCAACGTATCGTTTCCATCGAACATATCACCATGGCTACAATGACAGTCACGGAGACACACAAGAGGAGGAAGTTGCCAAAGGATCTGAAGTTGCCACCTGAGAATGAGCGGTACATGCGCGCCTGCGCTGATATCGCCTCTGCGCTTATCCAGGACTACGAAGCACAAGCCGATGGTTCAAAGGCGAAGAAAGATCTCAACTTGAATCGGCTAAGGGGCGAAGTGTCAAAGAAGCATTACCTGAAGAGCCAGCCGCCACTCACGGCGATTATTGCGGCGGTGCCAGAACACTACAAGAAATATATCTTGCCAAAGTTGATTGCGAAACCAATCCGTAGGTTATGGATTTTGATAGAAAACGAATAACTTGCTAAGTTCTTCACAGGGACATCATCAGGTATCGCAGTAGTGGCAGTCATGTGCAAACCACACAGATGTCCGCATATCGCTTACACAGGAAACATATGCGTCTACTGCCCGGGAGGGCCAGACTCAGATTTTGAATACTCAACACAGTCATACACAGGCTACGAACCAACATCTATGCGTGCTATTCGCGCAAGATACGACCCGTATGAGCAAGCCAGGGGACGGGTGGATCAGATCAAGTCGCTCGGCCATAGTGTAGACAAGGTTGAGTACATCATCATGGGTGGAACCTTCATGTCACTGCCAGAGTCTTACCGGGACGAATTCATTAGTCAACTGCACAATGCCCTTTCCGGGTATCAAACAAAAGACGTGGATGAGGCAGTTGCAGCAGGCGAAATGAGTAATATCAAATGTGTGGGCATCACCATCGAGACACGACCGGACTACTGTCTGGACCAACATCTATCCTCTATGCTTCGGTATGGCTGCACCCGTCTCGAAATTGGCGTGCAATCCCTCTACGAAGATGTAGCTCGCGACACGAACCGTGGACACACTGTTGCCGCCGTTGCGAAAACTTTCTGCCTCTCAAAAGACGCAGGATTCAAAGTAGTTTCACACATGATGCCTGATTTGCCCAACGTAGGCATGGAACGCGACCTCGACCAGTTCGTCGAGTACTTCTCCAACCCCGACTTCCGTACCGATGGACTGAAGATCTACCCCACGCTTGTCATCCGCGGCACAGGTCTCTACGAACTCTGGAGGACAGGACGGTACAAGAACTACACACCCAATGCACTCATTGACATTGTAGCGCGTATCCTCGCTCTCGTACCACCATGGACACGCATCTACCGCGTACAGCGCGACATCCCCATGCCGCTCGTCACATCGGGAGTGGAAAACGGCAACTTGCGCGAACTAGCACTCGCACGCATGAAAGACTTTGGCACCTCGTGTCGAGATGTGCGAACACGTGAAGTCGGCATCAACGAAGTCAAGCACAAGATCCGGCCTGACCAGGTCGAGCTCGTACGCAGAGACTACACGGCCAATGGCGGCTGGGAGACGTTCCTGGCGTATGAAGATCCCAAGCAGGATATCCTCATTGCCTTGCTGCGCTTGCGTCAGTGCTCCAAGGAGCATACGTTTCGCCCGGAGTTGACGGGTCAGCCAACGTCACTGGTGCGCGAGTTGCATGTCTATGGCTCGGCGGTGCCGGTGCATGCGAGGGATCCCAAGAAGTTTCAGCATCAGGGTTATGGGACGCTGTTGATGGAGGAGGCGGAGAGGATAGCACGGGAAGAGCATGGGAGCAGCAAGATAAGTGTCATCTCGGGGGTTGGGGTGAGGAGTTATTATGCTAAGCTGGGGTACTGGCTGGACGGGCCGTATATGAGTAAGACGCTGGAGCCACTGTGGGAAAGGGAGTGGTAGGGGGTTCAGCCTGGCGTGAGAATGCATCTTGGGCGTCTGAATCACGATTGGAACGTTGTGGCTGTAGATGAGCTGTATGTACAGAAAGGTTACATATGATGAGGATGTAGGTTATGTGATAGTCACTCCAACAGCGTACATGATCCAAGAACTAGCAAACCCTCCTCTGAACGCCGTGTGCTGTATTTCGATAGTACAACCGCCTCGCCCGTCCCTTTTGTGGACAAAGGAATCAAACACACCCCATGTAGCACGATGCTTCTCTCTCCCCTTGTTCGTTTCCTCATCCCCACGTTTGACTTATTAACTATTCGCCGGCAACATTTCCACGATTCGAGATCATGACAGGCTTATCGCGCCACGGCGGCTCTCGCGCAGGTGTAGAAGGGCTTGCAGGCCGCAAAAGACGAAGAAGCCAATGTATATGAAGACGGCACCGAAGACGACGCCAGCCACCGCGCCACCATCCTTTGGGTCCTCTTCGCTGCCCATGACGGTATTACTGTTTGTCTGAAGCCATGACGTTAGCATTCCCTATGGCTCCTACTTCTCAAATAACCATTGCTCGTGAGGATGGGAAACAGTAGCGAAAGCAGAGGTCAGCCTACCTTGAACAGCGCGCCGATAGTGGACAGAATGACAATGGCGAACAACGACACGACGATGCTATTTCGCTTGCATTAGCCTTTCTCCTGGTTGCTCCATCTTCCTATCTTTCTTGGAAATCGCACATACCAAGTCCATGCATTCATCGCTGAAACCACAGGCTTCACCATGTTGGGCGAGCTATGCTGTCGGGACTGCGCGGCGGAGGCGGGTAGCTTATCGGCTTATGGTGCGGCGGCGCTTCGAGCGCGCGGGATAGGGGAGGTGGTTCGCGTGGTGGGATGCGAGGCGAATATGGTGCGTATTGGAGCTTTCAAAGTGGACGGCGAGATGGGCGGACGATGGCGGCGATGCGGTCGTTGTTGGTGGTGTTGGGGGGTCTGCATGAACTGCCTCAGCTTAGGGTCAGTCGTCATGTCTCGCCGTGTGAGACTTACAGGCCGCCGCGAAGAGGTCCGTGCGTTTGGTTGCTTGCGGAGTGGAGACTGAAGCGAGGTGAGTACGTCAGCGACTGGAATGGTGAAGATGGGAACAATCGATAGTTACACGTAAGAAGACTTGGATTGTAGTAGCAGGTATTCTTGTTGTGAAATTGTTCAGCGTAACTCATTAGCTTTATTGGCAGTAATCTCACCAGCAAAGATCCACTTCTTCAGTGTCTGAGTGGGCCATCATGCCATCATGCCATCGTGTAAGTAAGCTTGACCAGAGATGGCAATCTACATTCTACAGTTCGCGCATGTCAATAATACTGTCATTCTCCCCTGATGATTCGGTGCACTTTTAGCCAGGGAAAAGGCTTCAGGCGCACAAAGGTGGACCCATGGTAGTTCAGTAGAGTTGGCTGAGAAGTAGGATCGGACTCCTGAGCTACTAATGCACAATGCCAGACGGCAACCAAGCGATAGCTGCAAGATATTCTTGATACTCTCGTATGACGCATGCCCACTCTTAAGAAGGATTCAAAACAGTCTGAATTTAGCAGAGTACAACTATCCTCCGTCAAGTTTGATATTGCCACACTCGGCGAGTTTCTCGTCATTTTTTGGGGTATGGATCCCTAACATGTACACAACAGTACACTGGCAGTGGACTCGCTCGACAAGAAAGCCAGTCCACTTCACTGTGAGCTTGATAGAAAGATGTAACAATGTCTAAATCAAAATGTATTCAGTGGGCGAGAGGTCGAAGTCACAGTCGCGCAGTGAAGCGCTGAACATGACTCTGGAAAGAGTCAACGTGAAATGGGATATCGTTGCGGACGAAGATTCGCTTTATCAGGACCATTCCACTGGGAAATTCTCGGTGGGCAGGACTTGAGCTCCTGAGATGCATTCAATATCTGGCTCCCGGATCACGGAGCAGGTTAGACT